CACTCTTGTCAATGTTATTGTTAATGTTAATATGTCAACGTGAATATTCACATTGTGAACGGGCCGGTCCGAGCCCGCCCCGGGCGGCGGGCTGGTTTCGGGCCGTCCACGGGCTGCAGGCCAATTTTACACTCCTATCAATGTGAATGTTAACTTGTCAATGTGAATATTCATATTATCAACAGGCCGAGCCGGGCCTATTTTTTTGGCCTGTGGGCCGGCCCGGCCCGACTCAAATTTTTCGGACACCCACGAGGATCGACATGGGCCGGGCCCCGGGCCCCTACACATTGACGATATGAACATTTACGTTGACGGTGTGAACATTCACATTAAGGGTATTTTGGTAATTATGTCACCCATAGGACTTATTGAAATATAAGAAAATAATGTGAACTAAATGGAATATAAGTAGATGAAAAGGGTATTTTGGTCTTCTTATCTCAAATTGGACCTAATGGAATAGTCAAAAAGAATATGAGTTGGATGGGATAAAGCTCTTAGAAAATAGATTTATCAAAAAAAGCTCCCAATTTTTAATTTTGTTTCTGAATTTATAAAATTGATGAAAGGAAAATCTGTTTTTAGGTGGATAATGATGGAAAAACAAACCTGCACTGGTGGATATACACACTTCTTATAATATTATACTGTTTGACTTTTATGTCAATTCCAGTTTTTGCTGCAACAATTTTACCACTGAATTACTCATATTATCTCAATTTAGACCTCGGGAGACTAAATATTTTAGTGGGTATATTTTTTTATAAAAAATTAAAAAATAATTAAATAGAAAATTTGCTAAAATTAAGGAACAAAACAATTTATTTATTCTCTCGAAAGTAATTAAAGGGTTGGTGTCTAATTTAAGATTATTTATTTATTTTTTAAATAGACCATTTTGTCTTTGATTTCTGTCTAATTTCTTAAAGAGCGCTTTTTAATTGGACTAAATTAGTACATTATGAAAAATTAAAGACAAAATTGATATAATTAGAACTATAGCGACTAAATTGACACAAAGCATAAATTACATGAATTGTAAGACTGTGTTTGGATTATAAGTTTATGCAGAGATTTAGAAAGGGAGAAGGAAACAATAAGGATAATGTGTGAATAAAATATAAGTTAATTTTTTTTTCAATTTTTATTTAAATTCATAATCTAAACACAACGTATCTATAATTGCTTTTTAAATTTTTTTTCCAAGCATAAGGAAATGTTAAAAAAAAAAAAGAAAAAAAAAAAGGAAAAAAGAATGAAAAAAAAAAAGCATAAAGAATTGCAAATATCAAATTGTTGCCAATCCACTTCTTTTTGGTTCAACTCCTATCAAATATGAATATTACATGAATCTACCTTGGCAATTGGGATTGTGGTCACCTGCCAAATAAGTAAATCCTAAGGACCAGATACTTGGGTGGGAATAGTTGGTAAGACAAATTTTTTAGATATGAACAAATCGTACAGGAGTGTGGAATTGAATCTTTATTTGCATATGATTTCGTGTCTTATCGTTATTTGGTTGAGTGACCCTATTATATAGTATTACTTAAGAGTGAACTTTAAGATCTCAGTTTCTTAGAGCCTAGGGCTAAGAGTCACCTTTTTGTGGTTAGACCTTTTAAGTAAATCCAAAACAATGGTATTAGTAAACTATTTGGCCTACTGGTAAGGTTTTGAGATATAAATCTCGAGGTCCCAAGTTTGACTCTTCTGGGGTCAGCCATTCGAGCAATATCATTTATGGTTGATAGGCCTTCCAGACTTGGGGTGAACCGTACTAAATGTCAAGAGTGTGAGCTTGAATCCCCACCTGTATGCGAGTCTATGATTTACTATTATATGGTTAAGTTACTCTGCTATGTAGCGCTATCTAAGGGTGACATATGGGTTTTGACTCCTTAGGGTTTAGTTTCGGAGGTCACCTCTATGTGATTAGGTCTTTTAACAATATCAATAACTAAAAGTGGGAATAATCATCACTTTTAACATACATTATGTATGCATCTTGTTAGGTATTTTTATAATATATTTTATGTATTTTTGTAATAAATTTTATGTAGTTTTTTCATAGAATTATCACAATTTATGATTCAAAAATAAAATTATGTATATTTTTAAATATCTCGATGAAAATATGTAATATTACTACGAACTATGTAACATTACCACAAAAAATGAGTTATTTTATTTTGAACCACAAATTATTGTAATTCTATTAGAACATTACGAAACATTTATGACAAAAGTACGTAACTTGTTTTACAAAAATGCATAAAGAGGTGCATATTATATGCATTGTGCACTAAAAATTTTCCTAAAATTTAACATTTAAATAAGATGAAGGAAAATGTTTGGTAGCTCAAAATTTTGTAGCTCAAATGGTTCAAATCTATCAAAACGATGTTGTTTTAAGTGATTTGAGCCACAAAATTTTGAGCTATCTCATTTGGTAGGAATGGAACAATTATTTATTAGAGGGTGAGAATCTTCTAGGGATGCAATTTTTGCTATGTTTTTGAATACATAAAAAATGATACTGTCCGTGTGTTTGTAATTATTTTTAATCATGTGTACTGACTTATAATTTTTCCTTAAATAATGATTTTTGAAAACTTAAAATGATGCTTTTACAAAATTTAGGGTAAAAGGGTACATGATATCTGATTAAATTAATTTAGGTTGAAAGGGTGAAAGAGTTGCAGCATCCTTGGGTATGGATAGTGGTTGAAAGATTGAGACTGAGACCTTGGAAATAATTTGAGTGTGGTTGGTTGTGTTTGGTTGTGTTTCCAAATAATGATTTTACACCTATATTCAAATATAATGTTTGGAGCCAGTTCACAAATCACGTTTCCAAAACTCTACAGAAAACTCTATCTCAGACGCGATTTTTAATTTTTTTTTTTCAAATTTGGCCTAATCGGTCGTCCCACCGGTTGACTAAAACAGTGCAAATTTTTTTATTTTTTTGCAATTGACATATATTAATTTTTATATATTTGAAAAATATTTTCTGAATTTTAAATTTTTTTTTATGTGTTTTAATAGAATTTTTAGTTGTATGTTTGGTTATGAGTTGTAAGTTTTTGTATCAAATATCATATGTCACATTGAAAATTGGCCACTCAATTCAAAACTCTTTCACAAAACAAATTTTTCACACTTAAATTATAATTCCAAAACTCACAAACTCAAAATACAACTCATACTCTCAAATCATATTTACAAAACTCTACCAAACGCAATATGTAGTAGCTGTTAAATTAACAACATACATACACCTCAAAGGATGGCTATATGGGATTTGAGGTGCATGTATGTTGTTAATTTAATAGCTACATACATGGGATTCTTTAGCCATACCCAACTCATTAAAAAATTTAGGGTTCTTTTATTTTGGTTATTTTTAAGTATATTTTTGTTTTCAGACAATTCTAAAAATTAAATTTTTTTTTTTTGAAAAAATAGTGAATACAAATTTATGCTTATTTTTTAAACAAAGTTTGGTTCATTTTCGTTGTTAGTGAACTTCTTAAAAGAAATTTAATTTTGAGGAATGTCTGGTTTATAGCAACTTATAAATTAAAATTTTCTAACGTAATAATAATAATAATATATATATATATATTTTTTTTACACTAAAAACGAAAACAAGCTGATAAGAATCTAACTTATAAATTGATGGCAAATAAAATTCTTGTAACACATCATGTTGGGAAGAGAGAATTTAAGATAGGGGACCAGACAAAAATGAGGATACTGACATCCCAACTAATTATGCAAAATTAATATCTATTCATAAATTCATGTAAATGACCTAGTTGGCAGTTTCTTTTTCTTGGTTAAATCATATTCGCAATCCTTATAATTTTTTGTTTGAGTTAATTCGGTTCCGTAATTTTAATTGTTTCAATTTTGTCAATTTTTTTTTGGCAGTCAAATTGTGTGAATTTTGTTTAATTGATAACATCTATTAAAAATTGAACAAAAATCAAGAGTAAAATGGTCCATTCAAAATGGAATGAGCCATTTGAATTGGACGAAAATGCAGGAGCTTTTACACAAAAAATTATCTTTTTATCCTCATTATTTTATTTTATTACAATTCTATGACTAAACAAAATTACCAAAAAGTACTAAAACCTAAAAGAATAAAACCTTAGTTTGTGGTGGTTGGGGGTCTGTAAAATGGTTGGTCAGGGAGTTGGTGGTTGCGGGGTTGGTGGTCATGGGGTGGGGGAAAGCTATTAGAGGTGGTGGCTATTGAGTTAGGGTTTGGAATATTATGAGTGTGAAGAGAGGATGAGAAGTTGGGGAAGGGAATAATTTTGGGATTAAAGAGGGTGTAATGAGATAAAAGTGTAGAAACCCTAACTTCAAAGAGGGTGTAATTAGGAAAAGGGTGTGAGAAGATTTGCTGTGTGCGCGCTGTGAATAGAAGCTCCCTAAAAATAGGAAAAAGACTAAGACCCCTAGTGGGGGTGACCCCCACCACCTCCACTGTTTTTTGATTGGTCCAAATTTTTTTTATTTTGTATTTTAGTCTTGGTCCCCAGCACTGCCGCTAAAAATATTTCAATTACTATGGGAGGAGTGAGTGAATGAATTATTTTGTCTCTTAATTTTAATTTAACTTCTAAAAGGCATTATCAATTGGACGAAATTATGAATTTTTCAAAGGTAACATTGATTCAATTAAACTACAAAGATCAAATTAATTTCAGAAGCAAATTATATGGACTAGTAGTGCAATTTATTCATTTTTTTCTCCCTTTTTCATTAATGACTTGTGAAAGTATATCTTTACTTTTCTACCTAGTCACATCCAATCACTTGTAAAATAATTTTTCTCAAATTACTAATTTTTTTTTCCAATTATCAAACTATTCATAAATTTAAATATAAATATAAATTGTAAAAACATTGTATTTGCGCCCATTGCTAGTGTGTGTATATATATATATTTTCATCTTCCTTATTAGTTATTTTTCCAGCTTGCTATTTCAGATATTTCACTCCAAAAGACAATTCCATCCTTTAATAGTTCGGTTGTAATCAATTGCTCCATCACATGCCCAATACATTCTTCAAAGACAATCAAATTGGATGAATCCCCATCGTCTGAGTTGTGTCCAGAGTACTTTCGGTGGATTTATCAAGACTTAAATCCATGGAAGGAAAAAGGAATCACCAAAGAAATGGTAGAAAGTGCTGGAAGCGAAGCATACATGAGAATAGTAGTAGTGAACGGAAAAGTATATTGGAAGAAGCTGAAGCGGGCATTCCAAACAAGAGATGTGTTCAATATTTGGGGCATATTACAGCTATTGAGGTTGTACCCTGGAAAGTTACCAGATTTGGATATTATGTTTGAGTGTGGTGACAGACCAGTGATTCAAAAGAGAGACTATGGTGGATCAAATGCCAATAATGTGACTCCAATGTTTCACTACTGTGCGAGTGATTCAACCTTGGATATAGTTTTTCCTGATTGGTCCTTTTGGGGCTGGTAAAGCTTCTCTTTAATATTTATTTATTTATATTTTAAGTAGACGCAATATTATTAAAGAAACCCATTCAGTATACGCTCCCTAAAAAGTATGTATCATATTATATGCACTTTATTACGTACTTTTTTGATATATATTACGTAACTATCTAGTAGACTTACGATATTTTGTGGTTCAGAAATAAAATTACATATTATACATTTTTTCATCAAAACATTGTTGAATCACAAAATATACAATATTAGCACAAAAAATACATAAATTCATTTATCAATTACAATTTATCATAAAAAAATTACATAATATTTATTACAAAAATACCTAATATGTGCTAGAAATACAATGCATAGATGTTGGATCTACTACACTTGTCAAATGCATTGTTTGTAAGAGACTTGTGGGCCCACATTTTAAATTCTTAATTTTTTTTAAAAATATATATATATTTTTTGAATTTATAATATTATTATTTATATAGACAGATGCATTTTAATCAAAATTTTATTATATACATCTCAAAATTTTGTTATAACCAATTATGATGTTTATATATTATAATGGTAGTTATAACTTGGTTATGATTCATTGTAGTGTTAGTTATGATTAATTGTAATATTAGTTATAACCTATTGTGATTATCATTTTAATTATGATCCAGAAAGTTGTTGATTATATCTTATGTGATGTTTGGTCATGATTCATTAGTATTTATTTAGTTATAATTAAAAATGATTTAATTATAATATTTGTGATAATCAACACCATAAATATCATAACTTACAAATGGTCGACGGTGTGTACTATAAAATGCCCGCAATTTTAAATGGCAGAGTATTGCAGTAACAAATTTTAAATTTTTTTGTAGCAAGTCAGGGAATTTAGAATTTGTACCTAAATTTGCGTTGTGTAGGGTGAAAATTGAATGAGAGTACCATGTATAGGATAAATTTGGACAACATACTAATATTTTTAGATAAGATTTTTGCGTTTATAATCTAGATATTTTTGCGGTATGACAGGCCAGAGCTCCATATAAAGCCATGGGAAGCCCTTAGTAAGGACCTAGAAGAAGGGAACCAGAGAGTGAAGTGGATTGATAGAATACCCTATGCTCATTGGAAAGGGGGCCCAGGATCTAGTTTAGCCAGAAAAGCGCTTCTCAAATGCAATCTCACTGACCAACAGGATTGGGGTGCGCTCATTTATGCCCTGGTAACGATTTCTTCCCTTTCTTGCTACATTTTTTAGAAGCTAGTCGCTCTATTTGCTGTAGCTTAAATAAGTAGATTATAATTTATTTAAATTTAAAAATTTGTGTTAGATTGTTTGATATAATTTTTCTATTTACAGTTTATTAAGTAGAAATAACTTAAATAATTCGATAAAAGATGATTATCTGAAAGCTAAAAGATGGATGTTATTAGTTTTTATATTCTGATTATTAATTTTTAACTTACAATAAGTTGCACGAAACAAGGCCAATAGAATGTAGTAACAAAGTTTTGATATTTGAAATGTGCCCAGCAAAACTATTATTTTTTATTTATTTATTTGTATAGTATTACTTTAGTTGAGACCAACGTAGCAAACTCAAGACTAATTATTATATTAAATAGACCACGAACCTAACCGTATTTAGAAAATCAACAATTATCAAGCCCTAGTCAATCACCAAACATAATCCCAAGCCTAACAATTACATACAACTTTCATAATTGGAGATAAATAAACACCCCAAGTATCAAATTTTTCTTTATAAAAGCTGAATCGGTAATCTCACACTATAAAGTAGTGTTACACAGTCACTAGGCCAAAAACTCTAGCTCAAAAGTAACATAATTATGGCAAACATGGGAGCATATTTGTTAGGAGTAGACACGAGTCTGTTGGCTTGACCATTCTAATCCATTTATTAGGAGTTTGAGATTCATTAGGATCGGGTTGAAATGGCCTTTTAAGCTTGTTTATTAAATGGGTTGAGCTTGAGACTGTTATTGGTAGTCCAGTCAGATCTGGACTAATTATTAATATATATTACATGGAATTTATATATATTACGTACATGCATATCTATTGATATATACATACATAATTTACTTAGTTTTATTTATTTATTATTTTTAAAAAATAAACACTTAAGATGAAAAAGATACTTTAAAATAAAAAAATAAAAAATTTAAAAGCATACTTACCTAATGGCTTAATATTAGACTTGACCACAGGAAATTTATGTATAAAAAATGCTACGAACCACCCTTATCAACCATAATTTATCCTAAATGTTTTTGTTTGGTGGTATTAAATTGATAAAATATGGGTTTCATGGGTAAATGAATTTGAACTATTAAATAAATTCTGAATTCATAAGTCTAAATTTATAATATTGTTTACTAACTCAGGTCCGACCTAGTCCAAACCCGGACTAGCCCTATCTTTTGTCAATCTCTAGCATTGGGCGAGTTTGTTCACGCATATAACTATGAGAGACTTACGTGTAGGTCCTAATAAGTAGACTTATTGTCCAATAGGTCCTGTGAGAATTAATGGCATTTTTCATTAAACACTATTAAAAAATTCACTAATCGTTAATTTTTAATGACAGTTTGAAAATTTTGTTACAAAAAATGTTACTAATTATAAGTTATCGCAACAGTTCAAAAAAATCGTCATAAAAAAGGGTAACTAATTTTCAACTTTTAGCGACAATTTAAAAAATTCGTTATAGAAAAATGTCACTAATTGTAAGTTTTAACGATAATTTATAAAAATCGTGACAAAAAGTCATTAATTGTCAACTTTTAGCAACATATGCCAAAAATTGTCACAAATAATTATTTTTAGCGACGATTTTATTAGGACTTATTTTCAATAGGACTTGATAAGAATTAAATATAATTATTATGACCTATTGATAATTTACCAATAACGCTACTATTACACTTACCTAGCTTTCATCCCATTTAAAAATGATACTAAAGTTATACTTTTTGACCTTTAATTTTTATATGAATTTCATTTGGACACTTCAACTTTTAATAATAATAACTAAATGTTTAAAAATGATACTAAATAAATTTGAATGAAAATTGCTTATCTTGAATGCTCCAAATGAAATAATTTACTTTATAAATTTATCTTGAATGCTCCAAAAATGTGCTTATCCGACCCTCCTATGAGTACTTTCTGTCCAAAATTTAAATGGTGAGTAGTGGAAAGACCATATTGACAAATAACTTAAAATTGAAAAACCAAAGTAAAATTTCGACAAAATTAGGGATGAAAAATGTAGTTTACCTTATTATTAAGAATAATATTAAAGGCAATTTCTTATTGCATTATTTACTTGCCTAATCACAATGGGATTGGGGTATATATAATCAATTGATGTGGACAGCACTTTCATTCTGAGCAGGTTGTAGAAAATGCGGTAAAAAATGGTATGTTCGTCGCAGGACTATGGTATTATTGAGTAATTACATAAACGGATTTCTTATCTGATGCTTTGACCAATTGATACAAAAGTAATGGAAAGTGGGATCCATTGTTTTCTGTGGCTACTTCAATATATATATATATATATATTTGATATCTACAGGCTTAAGTTCCACATGTTTTTTAACTTTTTTTTTTTCCCTTTATATTCGTTCTTTGGTTTTGAATTTTCAAAAAAGTTTGAATTTTTTGATTTTTGTGTTTTGTTTTCTTCAGATTTTTTCCCCTTCATATTTCAGTCAATTATTTATTTTTAAAATCTACCTAACTTAAATGTACCTAAAAAGTAAATATTTGTGACAAAATGTCAAAACAATTCAATAAATTCAAAAATAAAAACAAAAATGTCCTGAATTTTTGGTTTTAGTAAATTTTTAAAATATTTTTTGACAAATATTTTCTTTTTAAATATAACTAGATGAATTGGATTTAAACAGTAATTATATTTTTTCCAAAATTCTCAATTTTGCAATTTGACTATGACTAAAAAATTAACTTATTACTTAAAAAAAAAAAATCATTTTAATAAAAAGTCTACTTAAAAAAAAAAAATCATTTTAAAAACTTCTCAAACAGTAAATCTCTAATGGGATCGTGCACAACAGCCACTGTTCCATGCAGTATTGGGCCCATTCCAAAACCCATTTTGATGGTTCAAATTATTCAATTTTTAAAATATATCGAGTATAAAATATCTGTGAAATATGAACTTCTTTGGACATTGGTAGCTATTTCACCAAATCATATTTGTATTTATTTTTGTACTTGAAATGAAACTTTTTTTTGATTAGGTACTCGAAATGAAACTTACTATTTATTTTTTTATATATAAATATGAGTTAATAAAAGAATTATTAATATTCGTAGCTTTCATCCCATTTAAAAATGATACTAAAGTTATACTTTTTGACCTTTAATTTTTATATGAATTTCATTTGGACACTTCAACTCTTAATAATAATAACTATTTGGAGTCTGTTAATTTTTTGATGGATGTGGAGGTGGACCCCTATTTGGAGTCTGTTAATTTTTTAATGAGATTAAACTATATTAAATAAAATATTAATAATATAGGCTTTGTTTGGAAATAATTTTTTTTTAATAACTTTTCAATTTTTTAGTTAAAATATGATATAATTTGGGATATTTTTTGATTTTTTATAAAAAAATATGTAAAAAGTAGAGAGAAAAAGAAAATCTTTAACTTTTTGATATAAATTATTAGTATTTTAATTTTTTTAATAATTTTTTGACTTTTTAACTTAAAAGTCACTTGCCAAACGAGGCTACATATTTTTTGTTATCAAGGAATTTGATAGCTTAATGGCGTTATGAGACCATATCAACCCTCACACGGGTCGCCCATGATTGCTTTGTGTTTATGACAGAATTATCGGGTAAAAAAAAAAAATTTTGTTTTATGTATAACATTTTTCATTATTATTACTACTTCGGTTTTGATAAACTAATTGGAATCAGTTTTAGTCTTTGCATAAATATCACTTTGTTCTAATTCAAACAAAAATTACAATAATCTCTTGGTAGAAGATGAGTTTTTACCTTTAAATATTGTAGAATAATAGGAGAAATACTAGAGACCCATAATTTAAAAGTTACAATTTTATTCTTAGAACTTTCTATATCTTTAAAAATTGACAAGTAACTTATTTTGTCGTTATGTGACTGAAGGGGCTAAATAAGAAATGGGTCGGACTCAAATCTTGGGCCGGTCCAATCCCCTAAGCTCAAATCCAAATGGGTCAGATGAGCATGTGGGCAACTCAATTAAGCCCAACTCAATTACTAACAGTCCACTCAAGTCCTCAAGCACTTGGGCCCAACTCGTAGTGGAAAGGCCAGTCCAACTGCGATACTGGGCTAGGGTCGAGCTACAGGACCCATTCTATGGGCCGAGTCCATACACAAATATCTGAATGGGCCAGCCCATCCCAACAGTAGCCTCGCAAAGGGCCGAGCCGAGGCACAACGGTGTCGAGCTGGGGGAACCTCTCAAAGAAACGTGGAAGCTATGAGTATATGCATGTGCAAGTTGCCACCTCAGCTGGTCCCTTACACCTAGAATAACGGAAGGAGTTAAACCAGAAGAATGTGGTTTGTTATCAGCATGACTACAATGAGTATAAGCACCTCTAGACAACTACCAGGTGGTCCCCCACCTAGGGCCATGCTAAAAGGAAACTTGGCAGCACTAGAGCTCCATGAAACCATCTTGGGAAATAAGCAAGGAGCTCTATATAAACTATACTAATTTCATATTGAAGGTAACTGATCTAAGCTGAACCACACTTGCAAAAAACTCAACTCCCTACACTTCTTCTCCGACCATTGATTCCCACACCGAAGGGGTTATCCGGCCAACCCCGGTCGGGTAGCTCTTACGGTGCTTTTTGCTGCAAGGACCTCATTCCTTGGATAGTTCAACCAAGTGCGAAGCCCTAATCCACTTTCATCTAGTGCAGTATCCGGTACGCACAATTGGTGCGGTGAACGTGGATCACTTTGTCTCTGAGCTCTGCACTCAGTTCCGGCAATGGGGATTGAGGACATCCCACCTTCGACACATACTCCACAGACGAAGAAGACAAAGGACAAAGGCTTGACACTCCCAACAGTCTTAGAAGAACAAACTGGAAACAATAATCGGACCCCCGAAACCGTCGAGCATCGATTACCCTTCACTGGAGGTTCTTCTCATCACT